CCCTGGCTATATGCTATATGACCGTCTATCAACATAGGCCTTTAGGGCCTGTCTGTCTTAGGGGTAGCCCGGGCCTGCTATTCGCAGTTAGGGTAGCTGTAGGAAATTCTAGTTAGTGCAGGCCTATATTTTCCCGAATTTACAGATATGTCCCTCACGAATTTCCCTTACAGGCAGGTCTCTCGGTTAGCCCTCAGCCAAACAAAATAACGAATCTAACCTACCTAAGTTACAGCCTCGGGTCGACGGGTCAGCGGCGGCAGGAAACAGCAAGTCATTGCACACCGACACCAGCATCCCAAATCCAGCAGCCCCCCCTACCGTTGTTACCCGAATAGAACGCCTGGTCATTATAGTTGTATTTGGCACAACTTTCGGTTCAGATGCAACGATAATGACCGGGCGTTCTATTCGGGTGAAGACGGTAGTCATGTTGCAGGCACTCTGAACAAACAGGCACTGACTATTTGGCAAATCTTGAAGGCTTGCACTTAGACACACAAGAAAAGCAGAGGAAACAACCAGAGAACGCAGAAGATGGACAGCAGACAGGAAAAAAAACTTAGAATGAGAAAACAAAAAGAGAAGCTACAAATGAATATGACTCTGCATGTGCATGTGTGCGTGTGTGTGTACTGTCATGTTCGCTATACACAACTCCACAGAAAAAAACATGACTGTGCCAGACTGCTTCGTCGGACTTTCAGCGACTCAGCAAGAGGTTGAACCTGGACAGACAGTTTGCCTAGGATGCATGTGGACCATAAGGGCCTGTTTTAAAAGGAAAAAAAAAAAAAAAAAACATAAAGAAATAAATTCATACTTCCGACTAATACATCCCACACATATACTGAGAACCCACAAAGCTAAAAACCATAAAGTTATAGGTCTTAAACTATAAATAACTTCTGGAACCCGCGCCCCCAAACCGCAACTACAATTCGCCACCATGGAAACAATGCCTTTCTTACGGAAACTATTAACACTAACCCAAATCTGAGTTACGGGACACGCAACCCTCACACACAAAAAAAAAGGGGGAAAGCAAACAGTGTAGTGTTGAACTAACACACCCAGAAAAACGCACATCATCCACACACAGATTACAGGTACACAGACAAAAAAACACCCTGAACAAAAAAAACACCTCGGACAAAAAAACATGAAGGACAGAAAACACCCCGCACAAAAAACATCCCGGAGAAAAAACGCACCGCACACAAACCAAAAAAGCCACCACCCCGGACAAAACCATCACCGCACCACCATACCCAAACGACATTGCCCAAAAAACTCCTCATATACACGATAACAAAAGCCGCAATGCACCCGCGCAAAAAAATCCACCACTACCTTGAGGATCACGTTCCATGGCGAACTCCCCTCCCTAAAACGACAGACAATCCCACCCTCCCTGCAGCACTGGCTGTAGAACAAAACAAACACGTTTTGGACTCAAGCAGCAGCACAACCACGAAGATGTGGCGACCAGTCCCCCTATGAGCACGCATCCTCTACTCAGGCAAAACGGTCAACAAACACCCAGCGCAATGGAAACCCCACACCGATCTTTCGCCTCTCACCCACGCAAAGCACACAACCCATCGCACGAACACACACCCCGCTGCCACCCCCCCGTAACCAGCAAGCTCACCCCCCAGCAAAACACTCCGTAAAAACACCACCTGCTTCTACTACTATGAATCTCCACCATATAACATGCCCTCCATCACTAGCCTATTCAGCTGCACATAGCATGCTTGCAGAACTGGCTGAGGAGCTCGCCCGCATTCCCCAACCACCTATGTTATCGATTCGACTTCCTAATGCCCGCCTAACCAGCGAGTACGAGCAGACTAACGCTCGCCTATAGGAAGTCTTCGCTAACACCTCCTAATCCCCTTCAGCCATCACTACACTCCTCTGAGAAGCGTACACGGCTTAACTCACCGAGGGAACATGGCTACCGTCGAGGAGACTTCTTCTTCACAGACGCTTCCCTCACAGGTATATTACTGCTCAAATATACCCGCTGATAAATCCCTTAAAAAACCGCCCTACCTTCTTTCCCCAGTCCAGTTCCCCTCTCCCAATCTGCTAACTAATACGGAGCATTCTCCCTCTGACGAGCTGCTATGGGTGCTAAGCAGCGAAAAGCGCGCTTCAGGGCGTGCACCCCCCTATGGCTGTCTTCAACAACCGTCTCTAACCTTAGTCTAACCTTTAATCTGCTCCCCCCTAATTGATGATGCAGAACTAACATGCATCCTCCTGGTATGGAGTTGATGACTAAAATTCCTCCTCTTAAAACCAATATGTGTTAAGCCTGCTGCTAACTTGTCACGTGTTTACGATTGGACAGGTACATGGTCTGGTTCCCCATTGTATATGGGGTAGCCGTGTTATACACACCCACTACACACACACACACACTCAAGAGGACTCTCACAAAGCACGAGAAAAAAAGAGCACACGACCCCCCCCGCTAGATGGTATGATGTGAGCTAGTTGTTATTATGTTGCCTGGGTTATACTATTTAGGTTTTGTGGTAGGTGTGCGTGGAGGACGCGTCAGTAGTACGATTGACATCTCTTTCTATCTCTCTGTGCATGCGCGTGTGTGCACTTGAGAGAGAGAGAGAGAGAGAGAGAGAGAGAGAGAGAGAGAGAGAGAGAGAGAGAGAGAGAGAGAGAGAGAGAGAGAGAGAGAGAGAGAG